AAGACATTCAAGATTATCAACTTGATTTTCTATATCCTATGATGACCAAGCATCTTTTAAGTTAGTTCCACATTTTTCTATTATGTCAGTAGCAGCATCAATGTTTACTTTATCTTTTTCAAATAAATTACGATTACCATCAACAATATCTTTAACATCTTCAGTTTTTTTACATATTCTAACCGAACCAGATTTGTAAAATGCTTCATGTGTCTCAAACCCTATTGGTTTTAAATGTTTATCTATACGATGTGGTAAAAATAGTTGTAAACTACTAAGACAATATTTTTCTGGTTCTTTTGTTATTGAGAATCTCGCATAGCGAATTACAGCTGGTTTAGATCTTGTTTGTTTAATGATATAACCTAAATCTTTCTGAAGTTTATATGCTGGATTTTTTTTTCAGAATTTTCATTAATTCTTTCAGATTTGGACATTAATCCATATTCTGAGCAAAATGTAGCCAAGCACATATTATTGAACTGTTCTGTCTTAGGTCGAGCTTTGTATCTATCTATAATACTGGTCATAAACATATTTTCATCACTCAAAGCTCCTTCTTTTGATTTTTAATGGTAATGTAAGTCTGACATTATGTTCACCAGTTGGAATAAACTGAACCTTTCGAGATGATTCTCGTAATCTTAAATTACATACTCGATAAGCACTTTCTTGTGCAGAAACTTCTCTACAATGAAGATATATACTTGATATTTTCTTTAAACTTTCTTTTGCTGTTAAATTACCGTCTTTAGCCTCTTCTTGTGCATTTCACGTTCTGATTTCGATATATATGAAACTATATAAACTTTACAAGAATAGGCATCAAATACATACTGTATATCCATGTTTGCATCCCAAGCTCTTAACAAATTTGGATTATAAGGATTTATCCATACATCTTTCAGGTTTCGTTTTAATATAACATTATTCTTCTTTGACAACAGCTCACAAGCTTTCTGAAACAATTCCTGTGTCATACCAAGATCATCATATAATTCATCAATCGAAGTATAATTTTTCTCTTCATCTGATAATGCTTTCCATAATCCTTCAAGAAGGCTTTTTGCTGTATTCTGGGTCATTTTATCATTATTACATGTATTGTCTCCATTTTCATCTTCATTTTGTTCCGGAATGTTTGTATCATAGTTATCTACTGATCGACATATGAAACTTTGTTTTGATGGTGGTCTAGGAAAATTAAATCTGCAAACTGATTTGTTTTTCTTACAACCCTTTGTATGTTTATAACTGTGTCTTTGTACACTATTAAGATTCATCAATCGACAATTTAAATGTCGTGACAAGGTTATTCTCTCTTCATGGTTCTCATGGTATGTAGCAGTGCCTTTAGGAAAAAGTGTTGGAAAACATTTGGCTTCATTAGTTTCATCAGTTAGCATTCTAACAGGACTATTACCTTCAGCAGGGGAAATAGAAAATATAGGCCCTACTATCAAAATGATTATCTAATGTTTCACTTACAATGTCAAGAGGTTGTAAACATGTAGCTAATTCTGGGCCATTTGATTTCTCTGCATCGACATCAATGTCAGGTAAGTCGTCCTCTTTTTCATCTATGTCAGGTAAGTCGTCTGAATGGTTTGAAACCAATTCTTCTAAAACAGAGTTATCTCCCTCTAACACGTCATGTATATCAATCCATTCATCATTAAATTCTATATCTGAATAATATTTATTATTATGTTTTAGATAATGTATAGCATCTTTCATTTTCCTCTTGCTTATGTATTGATATTGATAATAGCCTTTTTGGGTTCTACGCCTTTTAAGTTTTATCCTGATAAGCTGAGTAGGCCTATCATTTTCGATTCTTGGCAAAATACTCGTCGTTTTACTTATATTAGATGGTACCCAAACTGTAGCTCAAGAAACCTTATGTTGTTTGAACTATGATAAATTAACCATTTTCATGAAAGGAATATGTAGTGATACCAAGTGGGTTTCTAATGAATTCAGTGCTTTTAGCTCATCAACTATTGGACCAGGATCTAAATTATTAGTCATCGCTTCTTGTGGTTTCTTTCCTGATTTAATTTTTCTGTCACATGTAAAACATATCCATAAAGATTTAGAACTTTCAGGGTGAGCACAGTCATTTTGGCATGTGATAGAACAGTCATGTAAATATTTCTTAGATATACATTCACTTGCTATCTGTTTAACTTTGGCAGATTTATAAAGTTTTTCATTACAACAAGTTATTTGATTATTAAATAACAATCTATGACACACACAGCAGATATATTCTGGGCTATTCTTTTTTTCTTTTTTGAAATCATTGATTTTTCTTTTTTCTTTCCTTTCTTTGTTTTGTTTTTTGATAATAATAATAATAATATATATTTTTTATAGACCGTTACACACAAATTGTCTCAACCGTCTTTACATGGGCGTACTACAAATTGTATATACATGTACATAATAATAAATAAATAAAAACTATCAATAATTTGTACAAATGTATGCCTATAAAAACATTAGATTGACTAGTAGTATTATTGCCTAATTGAATAAATATGTCTTGAGGTTGGATTTAAACAGGCTGAATTTGGTGAGTGATCTAAGTCTTAGTGGCAGGTAAGTCGTCCTCTTTTTCATCTATGTCAGGTAAGTCGTCTGAATGGTTTGAAACCAATTCTTCTAAAACAGAGTTATCTCCCTCTAACACGTCATGTATATCAATCCATTCATCATTAAATTCTATATCTGAATAATATTTATTATTATGTTTTAGATAATGTATAGCATCTTTCATTTTCCTCTTGCTTATGTATTGATATTGATAATAGCCTTTTTGGGTTCTACGCCTTTTAAGTTTTATCCTGATAAGCTGAGTAGGCCTATCATTTTCGATTCTTGGCAAAATACTCGTCGTTTTACTTATATTAGATGGTACCCAAACTGTAGCTCAAGAAACCTTATGTTGTTTGAACTATGATAAATTAACCATTTTCATGAAAGGAATATGTAGTGATACCAAGTGGGTTTCTAATGAATTCAGTGCTTTTAGCTCATCAACTATTGGACCAGGATCTAAATTATTAGTCATCGCTTCTTGTGGTTTCTTTCCTGTTTAACTTTGGCAGATTTATAAAGTTTTTCATTACAACAAGTTATTTGATTACTAAATAACAATCTATGACACACACAGCAGATATATTCTGGGCTATTCTTTTTTTCTTTTTTGAAATCATTGATTTTTCTTTTTTCTTTCCTTTCTTTGTTTTGTTTTTTGATAATAATAATAATAATATATATTTTTTATAGACCGTTACACACAAATTGTCTCAACCGTCTTTACATGGGCGTACTACACATTGTATATACATAATAATAAATAAATAAAAACTATCAATAATTTGTACAAATGTATGCCTATAAAAACATTAGATTGACTAGTAGTATTATTGCCTAATTGAATAAATATGTCTTGAGGTTGGATTTAAACAGGCTGAATTTGGTGAGTGATCTAAGTCTTAATGGCAGCTCATTCCAGAGAGTAGGCGCGGCACGACTGAAGGCGCGATCGCCATACAACTCACTGGTTTGTTTTCCATGTGTTTTGTGGGAAAAGGGTCGCAACTTCACCTCATCACTGCTTCTAGTCCGATAAGATGGAACTTGAATACTAATGATATTAGTGAGGTAGCAAGGCGCTGACTCACTATGGCGTATTAACTTGAAAATTATACATGACAGTTTAAAATGAATCCGCTTCTCAACTGGGAGCCAGTGTAGTTCCCGAAGAATGGGCGTCATCTCTGCGTGACGCTCCAGCTTCCTTCGGATTACCAGTCGAGCAGCGGAATTCTGAACATGTTGTAATTTCTTTAATTTGTATTTCGGGAGACCATAAAAAAGACTGTTGCAGTAATCCAGTTTTGATGTCACAAAGCCATGCACCAATTTCTCAGTACTGGCCTGGTCTAACAAATGCCGGATTCGCCCTATACGCCACAGCGAGTGAGAAGCCCTGCTACACACACTCTTGATCTGATCATCCATCAGTCCAGCCGAGTCCATCATCACCCCCAAGTCCCGTGCGGAAGCCGATGGCGAAACAAGCACCTCACCAACTCGTACATCACCCGCGACAACCTGCGGACTCGCATTTTTCCTGCACGATGAGAAACGGACAATTTCAGTCTTATCGTCATTGAGTGCAAGTAAGTTTGCACGCATCCAGAGACGAATCTCATCTATACAGGCCTCAATACGACCGGCAGAAATTGAGTCTGTTCGCGAGTCACAAGTGATGTAGAGCTGGGTGTCATCAGCGTATATTACGGCATTTAGACCATGGCGGCTGATAATATCCTCGACTGGAGTCATGTATAATGCAAACAGAACCGGTCCTAGGACCGAACCCTGGGGAAACTCCAAATTTTAGGGGATGGTCCTACGACACCGCCGATCCAACTGACACTCTTTGTGTTCTTCCTCGAAGAAAGGAATTGATCCAATCATAAGCCTGACCACAGACGCCAAAACGTTTACGCAATCTGTTCATGATCCATCATCCAATATCTGTAATCTTGAAAATTTCAGCCACCTGTTATTACTATAGGTATATATATCTATTTGTAATAAATCAGCACAAACATATATTTCAAGTTCTGTAGCCCATGACCCTGAATATCTCATTCTGGATCTTTTTAAATAGTCATCAACAGTCAAAAAGCCAGCTCTAAGATATGGTGTAAATACAGCTTCATTGTTTCTTAAATGATTAACAATAGCTAACCTGACAATTCTATGATTCACTTCTGTACCAGATATTGCATATGATACTGATCTAAAATAACAATTACCGTCTCCAGTAATACTTTTAATTTATGATGGTCGATTGATTGGACATCTATTTACATTATTAGAATTATTGTCAACTCTATTTACTATATCAAGTTGTCTACATATTCTGATTTGCTCATCTAAACTCAATGTATTGAAGAAAAAATTGCTTGTTTCAACATGAGATATAAATACATCATCATCTATTTCACTGAATATTTCACTACTATTGTCATCAATTAAAGCTTCGTCATGTTCATTTATTGCACCATTGATGATATATATACCGGTTACTTCAAACTGTGTATTTATACCGATTCCCATTGATTCAGCTAAATTACAGCAGTCTGTATAAACCTTTATAATATCCTTCATTTCCATCAATATTGATCTTCCATCAGGAGTTAACAGTCCCTCTGAATTTCTGGAATGGCTGTCAAATATATAATACTTATTACATCTTTTCATGAATACAAATGTATTACCACCAAAAGTTATAAAGCATGACTCATATTGTAAAAGGGATGTTTGCAAAGCCTCATACAATGTCTTAGATACTTCAATGTTTTCAAAAGTACTGTCTCCAGTTCTTATCAGTCCTACTAAAGGATCCAGCTGAATATCTATATTAAAAAGTACTTCAAAAACAATAAGGCTTCTTGGCAATTCAGATATCAAAATATACCGGTTATCCATTGATGAAGAAGATTGCAAAAAACTGTATAATTCATTACCAGCTATTAAAATCTTATCCAAGTCATTTGTATTCCATATATGAACAGATTTAATTGAAGAAAATAAAACAGCAACTAAAGAATTTCCAGTACATTGTGTACCACTAAATTTACCAAATCTTACATCTGCCTGATGAAAACTACCATAAACATTTACCATAGAAGCAGTGGCGGCGCCGGGGGGGGGGGGGGGGGCAAGAGGGGGGGCACCCCCCCCCCCCCCCATTAATGTGGTCTGCCCTCTGTTTGCCCCCCCCCCCAATAATTTTAGAAAATAAAAAAAAGTATTTGTGATACGTTTCGGTAATCAATACCTTCTACAGTGAATAAATCCCACATCCCCACTCAGTCATAAACTTGCATGTTGTAGAGCATTTCCGACAGTCTATTTTTCAAAATTTTCTTGGCGAGATCCCCAATGGACTCGCTACTCGCTCACAAGGGGAATTCGTTGAGGTTCGCAAGTCCGTTCGTTTGACATTCTGTTCTCTAGTCGGATAAACTAGTGAACAGGCGACGGGCGGTATCTGGTCAGATCTATTTATCTCGACGATCGGTGCCTGACAGAATACTGTAAGACAGCATTTCCGACAGTCTATTTTTCAAAATTTTCTGGGGGAGGACTCCCTTCTTTGACGCTCTTCAGTGGGCTACGTCGTGATTCGCAAGTCTGTTCGTTTGACACTTTACCTCATCGATCAGTGCCTAAAATACTGCCGGGCTGCATTTCCGGCAACCTGTTTTTCAAAATTTTCTGGGGGAGGCCCCCTACCCCTAGCTGAAGCTCGTGCCTTTGCCCCTTAACCTTGGACTTTGCCCCTCCAATCACCGACGGCTGGCGCCGCCACTGCATAGAAGATATTTCCTTTCTACTGGAAATTTCATTATTTGACCGTTTTTGCAAATATCTTTTGGGTGTATTGTCATCTTCATTATTATTTGATGTATTTTGTGCTTTCATGTCATCCTCAACTTTTTTATGATTTGCATATTGCTTCAAATTTAAAGTTCTTTTTGAATTCTTTTTTATGCGAGGCATAGTGACAAATTTTAGTGTCAATGAAAACTGTAGTTGTTTCCCTTTAATTAGTTTATATGAAATGCAATTCTACACCCTTCTAACTAAAATATTTTTCTTTTCTATTTCTTTATTCGTTTCTTTTCAATTTCTTTCTTATTTAGCTTAATATTTTTCTAGTACAAATTGACTTTCCTAAGACAATAGAACGTCACAATCCTATTGAATAGCTGATTTTTGCTATAATAAGACAGTGGTGCCAAGCACTGAATGTTTCTTTGTTAATTAGCAGAGTTCTTCAATGTATAACAGTTTGCCAAGCTGATATACAAGCTGCGTATATAAAAGTTTCTAAGTTTATTCTTTATCTTTTGGCAGAGTGCTTAAATGTATACCAGTTTGCCAAGCTAATATACAAGCTTTATGTAAAGTGGTTGATAAAAATCTAATACAACAGTTAGCCAAGCTGTTATACCTACTGTAAAACTACTACCAGTAACCAATAAACCAGAATTTAACCAGCAGAGACTAGCCTCACATCTGAAAATATACAAAAAATACCTCTTATAAATATTTGTAGAGTCTTTAATTACAGTCTCTGTGTGTATATGATATCGCTTGTAATATATAAAAGTTTAATCTCTAAAACGAATATTTCCATATAACCTTGTTATTTCCAAGCACACATTAAGCCACTAGACCACCCAACTCCCCAGACTTGCAAAGGATTCTTCAAATAACCTTTAGAAACTTGAATTAAACAAACATTCTTGTGAAGTTTATCAGGAATACAACTTAAAGATATGTCACTACATTGTAAAACAAAGCAAAATAAAATGAAATGGAGTTTAACATCCTACTGTTCTGCTCTGACTGGGCTAATGAAGACAGGCATATGCCATAAAGTGTGCTATGAGGGAAATTTTTCCCAGGCAGCAGCACTATGGCCTACACCTATTTCGAATTCCAACTGGCATGGGATCTTTTCATGCACAGCAATGTATACACGCGACATTGTTTTTGTCTCATCTGAACGACTAGACAGCTGTCCTTGTCAGGCCCTCTGTCCTGCACCAATGACAAGGGGAAACCACGTCGGCAAATTTCGATGAACTTTATCAGCCAATGCAGGGATCGAACCAGGACCTCCTTGCTAGCGAGCCAGTGCCTTACCCACTTAGCTACTGGGCTCCCACTGTAAAACAAAACAGAAAAGATAGGTTGCCAGGCAATAAAACATACGCCCACAGCAGTTAAATCGTCTCAGCAGTCGACAAGGGTTGTCACATATTTATTCTTTTGTAGGTAATTAGGGGAATTTAATAGACAATTTCATACAGATGACATTATAATTTTCGTCGTTTGAGGGTTCACAAGGTTCTAAAAACTAAAACAAGGGCCGTAACTCTGGAAGTAATCTACAGAAATTGTTCAAATCTGACAGGCTTTTTCGTTTTACTAATTCAAATAATGCATATAAATTTCATACAGGTCGGATGATAACGTTTGTTGTTCGAACGTTCACAAGGTTCAACAAAGTAAAACAAGGGCCATAACTCTAGAAGTAATTGACGGAAATTGCTGACATTCAAAGGGCTTCTTTATTTCACTAATTTAAAGGATGCATATGAATTTTATACAGATAACTTTTGTTGTTCAAGCGTTCACAAGTTTCAACAAAGAGAAACAACGGCTATAACCCCTAGATGTAATTAACAGAAATTTTCTGAAAATCAATAGGCTTGTTCAGTTTACTAATTTAAACGATACATATAAATTTCATACAGATCGGATAATAATTTTTGTCGTTAGAGCATTCACAAGGTACAACAAAGTGAAACAAGGGCCATAACTCACGGCGTAATAAACGGAAATTCAATAGGCTTCTTCGTTTCACTGATTTAAATGATGCATATCAATTTCAAATAGATCGGATGATAACTGTTGTCATTAGAGCATTCACAAGATTTAACAAAGTGAAACAAGGGCCATAACTCTAGATGTAATTAACGGAAATTGCTGAAATTCAATAGGCTTCTTTGTTTTAGTAATTTAAATGATGCCTATAAATTTCATACAGATCAGTTGATAACTTTTGTCGTTAGAGCGTTCACAAGGTGCAACAAAGTGAAACAAGGGCAATAACTCCAGAAGAAATTAAAGGAGGTTCTTGAAATTAAATAGGCTTCTTCATCTCACTAATGCAAACAACATATATCAATTTCAAAACAATCAGATGTTAAATGTAGTCTGTAGAGTGTTCACAAGAAATTATGGACGGACGGGGGCGACGGCAAAATACGACCACATTTCCATGTGGGCATATAAAAAATATTCACAAACAAGCCAACAGTGAGGCTGATGTCCCCTGCCAAAATCCGAAAAATAAATAGGTGACACATATTAACTAATCGCGCATTTATTTTTTTTATAAGTATCGAGCAATCAAACTATACACTAAGTTTCATCATTCTCTATCAGATAGAATCAAGGTTATCTTGTCCCAAAACATCGACCAATGAAATTGCTTAGCTTTGCTTAGCTTTAGCTCGAAATGTTATAACTTAATCATTGAACTCAAGTCAAGACATTCGCCTAATGAACATCTACATCAAGTTTAAACATTCTACCACAATTAAAAGCAGAGTTGTTATGTTCCAAAGTTTTGACCAATCAAATGACTTATCGATCCTTAACCTAAGTAGAAAATTCGCACCATCGAATTTAGTCAAGGTAATGATATAATGAATCTATATTTGGAGTTTCATCGCTCTTACTTCATTATAACCAAAGATATCGTGCCCTAATATAAAGCATCAACCAATCAGATTGCTTATCTCTGCTTACCGTAAGCAGACAGTGTTCATCATCAAACTCAAACAAACCATTCACCTAATGAACACCTACACATAGGCGTACGAGCTGGGGTGGGGGGGGGGGGGCGGCCGCACCAAATGCTGGGAAAATTTGGGCACACAGTTGTATAAAAAATATTGTGTTCTTGAATGTGTCCAATTTAACAGCGAATTTATTATTATTATGCAACATACTAAGAACCTAACTACATTTTTTGGGCACCAACCACCACCGCCCCCCCCCCCCCGTCAAAAATTTCCCCGTACGCACCTATGCACCTACACCAAGTTTGAACATTCTACCTCAATTAGAAGGAGAGTTATTGTGTTCCAAAGTCTCAACCAATCAAATTGCTTATCGCTCTGCTTACCATGAGCAGTATATGCACATTATCGAACTTATTCAAGGTACTGATGTAATGAAACTATACACCAAGTTTCACCACTCTGACTTAATTAGAACTAAAGTTATCTGTCCCAAAGAATCAACCAATCAAATTGCTTATCCCTGCTTACCCTAAGCAGAAAATGCTCATCTTCTTTAGCTAGGAGAGAGAGAGAGAGAGAGAGAGAGAGAGAGATGGGGTTTAACGTCCACTCAAACTTGGTCATTACGGACTAACAAATGGTTTAATTTTATTTCAATACTTCGCTTGCGCGTATTTGTCTTTAGCAGTGGGAGGAAACCGGAGGACCAGGGGAAAACCCACGAGGTTGGACAGGCGAACCTACTCCTTGTCACGTACAACCCGGGATTTGAAACCACGCCAGTTGTCTCAATGACAGGCCATTTGATACAGCGCGCACGTGCTAACCATTTGGCCATTCAACCCCTCTTTAGCTCGGAAGCTGGTCATATTACTGAATAAACGTTAGGTATAGGTAAACCTAACTACAATTTACCGAACTACAAGTGGGAAATTGTAACCACTCCACTTGCCTCAATAAGGGACCTTATGATCAAACGTGCACATGTTAAACTATTAGATCACCACCCACTCTAAATGGTTAAGGCTCGTTACATGACCATTTATTTAGATGGCCATATGAAATAAAATTTGTTTACAGTGTTGTGAATGTTATATTACCAATATTACTTTTTGGTGTCCAAAATGGAACAGTGAGAGAGAAATGGGAAATAGAATCCACTCGACACAAACTAATTCATTTCGGGATTAACACATTCATTCGCCGCCGCCCCCACCACACACACACTCTAACATTGGCATTTGGTATGGTCTAGTTTTAAAAAAAAATATTTACAATCAATATATATTCACATCATAAGTGTATTGATTCACTACAATTAGATAACTTCCACATTATCCGTGGTTCTACATGTACCAATAAAATAGGGCAGTGGCTATTTGCCACATGTGTTAAGCAAGAATTTCAAAAAAGCCTTACGACTACAGACCGCAATTGTTACCCGATTTTAATGAAACTTACAGATTATAATAACATTAATAATATCTCAGAGTAGGCAAAATTTCGACCACTCCCGGTTAGCGGTTTCCGAGATATCAGGTTACCACACATTTCATGTGGCACGGCTACATCAACCGATATCCATGAAACTCACAGAATATGATAACATTAATAATATCTCAGAGTAGGCAAAATTTCGACCACTTCCGGTTTCAATGAAACTTGCAGATTATAATAAGTTTAATTATATCTCAGGGTAGGCAAAGTTTCCACCACTTCCGGTTAGCGGTTTCCGAGATATCAGGTTACCACACATTTCATGTGGCACGGCTACAGACCACAATTATCAACCGATTTCAATGAAACTTGCAGATTATAATTACTTTAACCAGCGGCTGCCAGGCAGGATACGCCCATATTTTCGAGACATGGATAGAAAACAAGCTAAAACGAAAGTGATTTTTCCTACAATCAAGGGCCATAATTCAGTAAATTACAATTCGATATTCGCAAATATCGAAAGGAACCAAGATCTTTGAGTTATAAACTTTACATTTCAAGTTTCAACAAAATCGGATAAAAATTGTGACCTCTATAGGTCCACAACCTTGATATACCATATTTTTACGTAATTTGAGAACGAGGGGCGGCCATTTCGTCTGTCAGTTTTGGGCCGATTTTCACGAAATTCGAACTCAGCCGTCCTTAGGGTGTAACGGTGATATATTATGACAGTTTTTAAATCGGATAAAAATTATGACCTCTATAGGGTCCACAAGCCAAAAAACGCGTTTTTGCGTACAACCAGGGGCCATAATTCATGAAGTTACGGTCCGATATGCGCGAATATCGAAAGGAACCGAGATCTTTGTGTTATAAACTAACATTTCAAGTTTCAACAAAATCGGATAAACATTGTGACCTCTATAGGGTCCACAACATTGATATACCATATTTTTACGCTATTTGAGAACGAACAGCGGCCATTTTGTCTGTCAGTTTTGGGCCGATTTTCACGAGATTCGAACTCAACCGTCCTTAGGGTGTAACGGTGATATATTAACACGGTTTTTTAAATAGGATAAAAATTATGACTTCTATAGGGTCCACAAGCCAAAAAACGCGTTTTTACGCACAATCAGGGGCCATAATTCAGGAAGTTACGGAAGTTGGATTATAAACTTAAATTTCAAGTTTCAACAGAATCGGATAAAAATTGTGACCTCTACAGTGTTCACAAGCCAAAAACGTGATTTTTCGTACAATCAGGGGCCATAATCCATGAGGTTACGGTCCGATAGATGGCAATATCGAAAGGAACCGAGATCTTAGGGTGATAAACCTATATTTCAAGTTTCATTGAAATCGGATAAAAATTGTGACCTGTAGACTGTTCACAAACAATTGTGCGGTAACCTGATATCTCGGAAACCGCTAACCGGAAGTGGTCGAAATTTTGCCTACTCTGAGATATTATTAATGTAATTATAATCGGTTCGTAATTGCGGTCTGTAGGCGTGGCACATGAAATGTGTGGTAACCTGATATCTCGGAAGTCGAAATTTTGCCTACTCTGAGATATTATTAATGTTTTATATAATTTGTAAGTTTCATTGAAATCGGTTGGTAATTGCGATCTGTAGCCGTGCCACATGAAATGTGGGATAACCTGATATCTCCGAAACCGGTAACCGGAAGTGGTAGAAATTTTGGCTACTCTGAGATATTATTAAAGTAATTATAATCTGTAAGTTTAATTGAAATCGGTTGATAATTGTGGTCTCTAGCCGTGCCACATGTAATGTGTGGTAACTTGATATCTCGGACACTGCTAACCAGAAGTGGTCGAAATTTTGGCTACTCTGAGATATTATTAATGTTATCATATGGCTACTCTGAGATATTATTAATGTTATCATATTCTGTAAGTTTCGTGGATATCGATTGAAAAGTGTGGTAACCTGATATCTCCGAAACCGCTAACCGGAAGTGGTCGAATTTTACCTACTCTGAGATATTATTAATGTTATCGCTATCTGTAAGTTTCATTGAAATCGGTTGATAATTGCGGTACGGAGACTTGCCACATGTGGCAAATAGTCTCCGGATTGTGCAAATAAAACCAGCCATAAAATAGCTTTGGTGGAGTGCAGACAGACGAGAAAACGCGTGATTTCAAAACGTGTTGCAGCCTCGTGCTTGTGGTTTATAACCAGGCCTACTGTATATTTTCATTTCACAACATTGCATTTAAACCCTTTTAAAACCTCACCATATCACTAAACCGTGACTCAGTGAAACCTCCATAATATATTCGTTGTACTTTTAACGCTGAATCTTCTTTTCTCCACCATAAAAAAGACATTAGGTTAGGCCTATATTAAATAAAAATTAAACACCCTCACCTGTCAAAAATTCGTATGACGGGTCTATTCTATTGGGACCTCTCTTCATCTGTAGCCGGACTAATCACCGGAAAATACTAGAATTCTCCGGAATGTACTTAAAATTATCGGAATTCCGTTGAACACACCAGAATTCACTTCGAAAACGTCCGATTTCTCCCACAAAACTAATTTATTTTCAATGTATAATACCTAGGAATAAAATGAATAACTAGTTCCATCCCTCCACAGACCCAGTGAAGGCGGTGCTAAAAAAATCTGTACGTGTAGGTCAAGGTGTATTTATTTCAAAGAGTATCGGAATTCACTTAAAGTAGCTAAGTCTCTAACTCAATATCATCCAAAATCTTCAACATTGAAAACACGAATTATTTGTCAAATTAAATCAACATTCATGTTGTGATCTTACCGGAAAAAGATGGGCTTTTGATATCCACTATTTAAGACAAAATAAACATTTTACCATTGGTACGCGAATCGTGTACCATAATGCGCTTCAGCCCCAGTTGTATCAAGAGACTCGAGGGATGTGCTAGATACATCGAGCCAAATCAAACGGCGGATGTAGACTGGAATAACCAGACGCTAGAAATTTGCACTCGCTTGAGACTGCTGGCTTATTTCGCCGAACATAACTGATTTAAAATTGGAGTAAAAACGGAAACCATTGAATGTAAATCAGTTTATATACATTCATATTACAGAATTATATGCGTTGCGACCCACTTTTGTCAATTTCTAGGTCCCAAATGTTAGTGATTTAGCTCTTTTAAATTAATTACAATTGCTGATCTTTCATTGATTTTAGTAATATAATTTTACTATAAATATTTATTTATCAATAATTAGTATGTATCTTTTCCTTCATTTATCAAATTACTTAATTTAAAGTAACTAATCATCCGAAGTCTTCGACAATGAAAACACGAATTATTTGACAATTTAAATCAACATTGATGTTGTGATCTTACCGGGAAAAGATGGGCTTCTGATATCCAATATTTAAGACAAAATAAACATTTTACCTATGGTACGCGAATCGTGTACCATAATGCGTTTCAGTCCCATTTGTAAGAAGAGGGGGGGTGGGTTGGGGTGGGGTGGATGGTCGAATGGTTAGCACTTGCGCGCTGTATCATAAAGCTTGTCATTCAGTCAACTGCCGTGGTTTCGAATCCCCGGTTGTACGTGAGAAGGTGTAGGGTCGCCTGTCCAACCTCGTGGGTTTTCCTCGGGTCCTTCGGTTTCTCCCACTGCTAAAGACCCCTACGCGCAAGCGAATTATTGAAATAAAATTAAACCATATGTTAGTGTTAGTCCCGAAATGACCAAGTTTGTGTCGAGTGGCCGTTAAACTCTCTCTCTCTCATCTCTCTCTCTCTCTCTCTCTCTCTCTCTGTAAGAAGGGACCCGAAGAACGTGGCTAGAGATATTCCACGCAATATATTATATCGACTGGAATAACCAGACGCTAGAGAATTCCATTCGATTAAGATTTCTAGCGTATTTCGCCGAACATAACTGATTTGAAATTAGAGTAAAAACGGAAACGATTAAATGTAAATCAGTTTATATACATTTATATTACATTATTATATGCGTTGCGACCCATTTATGTCAATTTCTAGGTGCCAAATATTAGCGACTTAGCTCCTTTAAAATAATACTAAGTAACAGTAGGCCCTAACAACTTTCAGCTCTTTCAACTTTCCCTTTTCTTATGTTTTTGTTTCTGATTTAATTCTTCAAGCAAGTAAATAAATACATTTTGTACTACCCCACCATTTGAAAGATATTAAACATACATTGTGCAAGATGTAACTCTGCCTATTGCAGGTCTTTCTTTAGGCCTGAAATGTTATCTAAATTATTAATTAGACATCAGTTAACTTATCCAGACCATAATCGACTCTCAATGTAATCGCTACTCTGCGATGTTTATTGGATTGGGTTTGATTTGCTGTTCGACTTCCACTCATGATTTAATCCTGAAATGGATAATCGAGACAATGTTTTTTATCGTACCGACTTCAGTAATGATCGCGGCTACGCCGAAAATTCAATCGCTAAAATCTCGATTCAGAGTGGATCAATTTGACTAAAATTTTCAGCGTATTCCCTTTACATTATCTAGTTTTTAACTATTACAGTGAGAACTACAAGCCCTTTATCTAATCTCCCATAATGTATCTTTAAATCATTTGAAAATTTAGTAAAATAAACACATAAAGTAATCACCATTAATTACAATATCATAACTGAGAGAAGTTTGTTTATACTATTTTAGTATTGAATCATTGATTAATATATTTTAAAAAACGAATACCCTGCATAACCAATACCAGAGCAATAGGGATCTTTCCGAAACTTTTACCTACCCCCGCCCCCCACCCCACACACCAAGAATAGGTGGTAGCTTTGGAATGAATATATTTTTAAAACGTTTTACGAATCCAAAATCATCGAATTTTACGAACGAAAGCCTTTGGCCTACATTGCTGTAACTTTGTGACTATTTGATCTATTTTACTAATTCTTTTTTCTTGAGTACCTTGAAACATTTACTTGGGTTTTTTTGTGTGTTTTTCCTGCAAATCTTATATCGCAGAATCTAACCGTAGGATCTTTCTGAAACTTTGACCTACCCCCCAAGAATGGGTGGTGGCTTTGGAATGAATATATTTTCAAAACGTTTTACTCATCCGAAATCACCGAATTTTACGAACGAATGCATTTGACCTACATTGCATTAACTTTGTGACTATTTGACCTATTTTACTAATTTTTTTTCTTTGAGTACATTGAAACATTTACTTCAAATCTGCAATTTCGGATTTTTGAATTTCGAAAATTCGTCGCTGTGATTTCGAACCGGAAGTTCAAACCAACTTGACAACTTCTTTAATAATTAGTGAAAAATCCACATTAATGGGCTTGAAAACATACACAATTGGTCGTGGCTTAGAGAATCTGTCTCCTATTACTGAAATCAATACATTTTAGGATAGCCTGGATCATGGTCGAATGTTTGGTATTTGAATATTTCACAAATTCGAATTTCGCCTTTGATGTTTTCCGTGCCGACAAGGTTGTTTTCGAGTTTAGCTGGTTCTTATATCTCAGAATCTAACCGTAGGATCTTTCTGAAACTTTGACCTACCCCCAAGAATGGGTGGTGGCTTTGGAATGAATATATTTTCAAAACGTTTTACTCATCCGAAATCACCAAATTTTACGAACGAATGCATTTGACCTACATTGCATTAACTTTGTGACTATTTGACCTATTTTACTAATTTTTTTTTCTTTGAGTACATTGAAACATTTACTTCAAATCTGCAATTTCGGATTTTCGAATTTCGAAAATTCGTCACTGTGATTTCGAACCGGAAGTTCAAACCAACTTCACAACTTCTTTAATAGTTGCACGATTTTCGTGAAATTTAGTATGTAAGTAGATCTTACCCATGCAACTTGAAAGATTTCATTGGAAAATTTCTAAATTATCTCCCCTTGATGACATTGAGGATCAAAGGTTAAAAAAAACCGACGAAATATAGGTCACATTGCCTTGAATTTTTTTTTTCTGTACTAGCTAAGACAGTACTGATGTGTACACAAAATATGGAGTTTGTCGAGCGAACCGGAAGTGCCACCATCTCAAAACGTGAAAAATCCATAAGGCTTTTGCAATATTTTACTTACAGACATAAGAGTTACATTTTCTGAATCCTTGAAGGAATGCCTAAAATCTATCGGATTAGAATTTTGATTTAGGTCAACTGATGGACGCCATTTTGAATTGAAAATGAAAATTAGTGAAAAATCCACATTAATGGGCTTGAAAACATACACAATTGGTCGTGGCTTAGAAAATCTGTCTCCTATTACTGAAATCAATACATTTTAGGATAGCCTGGATCATGGTCGAATGTTTGGTATTTGAATATTTCACAAATTCGAATTTCGCCTTTGATGTTTTCCGTGCCGACAAGGTTGTTTTCGAGTTTAGCTGGTTCTTATATCTCAGAATCTAACCGTAGGATCTTTCTGAAACTTTGACCTACCCCCCAAGAATGGATGGTGGCTTTGGAATGAATATATTTTCAAAACGTTTTACTCATCCGAAATCACCGAATTTTACGAACGAATGCATTTGACCTACATTGCTGTAACTTTGTGACTATTTGACCTATTTTACTATTTTTTTTCTTTGAGTACATTGAAACATTTACTTCAAATCTGCAATTTCGGATTTTCGAATTTCGAAAATTCGTCGCTGTGATTTCGAACCGGAAGTTGAAACCAACTTGACAATTTCTTTAATAGTAGCACAATTTTCATGAAATTTGGTATGTAAGTAGATCTTAACGATGCGACTTGAAAGATGTCATTAGAAATTTTCCAAATTATCTTCCCTTGATGAAATTAAGGATCAAAGTTTTCAAAAAAATCGACGAAATATAGGTCAGATTGCCTTGAAAAAATTTGTTTCTGTACTAGATAAGACAGTACTGATGTGTACACAAAATATGAAGTCTGCCGATTGAACCGGAAGTGCCACCATCTTAAAACGTGAAAAATTCCACAAGGCTTTTGCAATATTTTACTTACAGACATGGGAGTTTCATTTTCTGAACCCTTGAAGGAATGCCTAAAAATCTATCGGATTAGAATTTTGATCTAGGTCAATTGATGGAACCCATTTTGAACTGAATATGAGAAAAAGTGAAAAATCGACGATAACGCACAAGAAAATGAAAACAATAGGCCGTAGTTTGGAGAATACTTCTCCTATTTCGAAAATGAATACATTTCTGGATAGCTGGGATCGGGGTCCAATTTATGGTATTTGAAAATGTCACAATTTCGAATTTTGCCTTTGTCGTTTTTCATGCCGACAGAGTTGTTTACGAGTGAAAAATCGCATTAACTTAGCGACTTTTTGACCGATTTT